AGTAAATCTTCACATTCGCTCCATAAGATGCACAGACATTTCCCCTCACTTTTGAGGGGAAAAAAAGTGCGTCTTATGGAGGGAAAAAAAATACGGTAATTTGGAACAGGGTGTAGTTGCTGAGAACCTCACCAGCACAATTTATAGCTCAAAGGCAAGGCTAGCTTAACATGGGCTACATGTCACACACAGAACTTTAAAGGACGACTTTAACAGGTTATAAATACTTAAAGGGACACTATAGTGCACAGACATTTCCCCTCACTTTTGAGGGGAAAAAAAGTGCGTCTTATGGAGGGAAAAAAAATACGGTAATTTGGAACAGGGTGTAGTTGCTGAGAACCTCACCAGCACAATTTATAGCTCAAAGGCAAGGCTAGCTTAACATGGGCTACATGTCACACACAGAACTTTAAAGGACGACTTTAACAGGTTATAAATACTTAAAGGGACACTATAGTCACCAGAACAACTACAACTTAATGTAGTTGCTCTTGTGACTATAGTCAGCCCCTGCAGTCTTTTTAATCTAATCACTGCCTTTTCAGAGAAAAGGCCGTGTTTACATTGCTGCCTAGGGACACTTCTAGTGGCCACTCTTCAGGCGACACTAGAGGGGGTTCCTGGGTCAGTGTTGCACAGTGTGCATCACTGGCGTTCAGAGTCTCCATGCATTCAATGCATCTCTATGAGGAGATGCTGATTGACCAGCGTGGCATTTGGCTCCACCTGCCATCCCGCCACCTTGGGTAAGGTCATCAGAATTGACAATCTCAGTCAATCTAATGTTTTCGTATGGTAAAGCATTGTGAGTCGGATCAGGGGTGGAGCCAGTACTGACAGACCCGTGCTGTGCTGCAATAAAGGTGAGTTTTTACTCACCTTTATTACAGGGTGAGGGGGGGAGGGCAGGGAAGCTAAATAGTTAGTTTAGCACTATATGGTCAGGAATACACATTTGTGTTTCTTTAATGAAATATAAACTGACTAGTTAATCAGGAAGAGGCTGTGTGTGTGAAGGCATAACATAGGTTATTGGTGGACAGCAAATATCAAATATCATAAACATTGTTGTGCAAGTAAAAAATAATTTGTTAAAAATATTTTCTGCAGAGTATAACATTTTTATATATAATGAACCAAGATATTATACTTAATAATCCACATTGTACAATACAGTTTTCCAAACTCTATAGCTTGCCATTTTCGAGAAACCATTTGGCCACACTAGGAATTGTCTGGTATTCTCTGTTCTGTTTCAGTGCCCAACAGGCTTTGCAATACCAAATAGCCCACCCATCCTCTATCTTTATTCGATAGTATTTTCTCCAGTTAAAATATTTCTTGTACTGCTCTTCATCCTTGTCCAGCTCAAGAAGATAAGCAGCAAGTTTCTTAGGACTGGAAAAATCGTCTACATGAATGAAGGCATCCCCAGGCATAAAACGCTCATAGTTCATGCGAGATGGTCCCAACACGACTGGTACAGCCCATGAATTAAATGCATTTGACCAGAATTTCTCAGTTATATAATCCTTATAAATAGAATTCTCAAATGACAGATAAAATTTGTACTGGGATATAGTTTTATGGAAATCTTCCTTATTCAGTTTTGTGTGTCGTTGACCATACATATCTATCTGGATGTGTTTTTTCAATTCCTCATAATATATTTCACGAGGTGAGCCAGTGTACAATTTACTGACTACCCAAGAGATCAACTTGGACTTGGCTGGAATGGTGAAGTTCTGAGGCTTCTTCAAGGTTTCACTTCTACCATATGGTATGTAGATATCAGAATCCTGACGGAATGTCATTGTCAAATTGAAAAGGTTGTCTAGAAAATATAAGTTTGTGATGATTAATGGGGGCTCCAAGTTGAACCAGACCCAACGCTGAAAATAAGGTCTTGGTTTCTGGGGTAATGACTTTTTGTCATACATGATATCTACATGGTGCATGACTACAGCATCAGCAACATCATATAGATTCCTATCAGCTGTCATCCTGCACCCAGTAATGCCATAAGCACTCTGGCAGATATCTAAAGGAAAATGTTCTCCATAGGGCCAGACCCAAACTAATATATTTATCTCTTCCTGTTCATGTTGTGCATTATGCAAACACATTTTTTTCACAGTTTGAGTCACCATTTTGTCAATGATATGTGTCTGTCGAGGGAACATGATTCTTTGGAATTCTACTATATTCCAGGTAATTAAAATAAAAAACACTGCTAGCAGAAAAACTGAAACCATCATGCAACAATAGGTGGTGAGTGTCTTCCATGCCATATGTAAACTGTGAAGGAGAATTAAAAAAAGAAAGATTAGCACTTTTGCAGCTATCTAAAAGTAAAACAAAATGAATGAAGGATCAGTAATGCCCCATCAGTATCCACAAACTATTATTTTGAACTGGAAAACAATTCAAAAAAGAAATCAGCCGATAGATCTTCATGTGCTTTTCTTTTTACTATAGCACCAGCACCAGTGTAGAGAAACAAATTTATCACCCTAGAGGAGATAAGCCTGGAATTGTTTCACATTTTGTGAGTTCTCTACTGCATTACACTATGTTCAGTTTATGTTTATCTTTTTAGACATCCGTACTGTGTTCAGATTTTCAGTATAGAACACGTGTTTAACTCCTTAAGGACGGCGGGCATTCTATGCCGTCCTTATTAACGTGGTGCTAAATGCCGCTGGGCAGCATAGGACGTACGCGCCATCCTTAATACTTGCCGATCCAATGCCAGCGGTTGCAATACTGGTGACTGCATGAGAGCTCAGGCAGTCCCCCTTTGCTCGATCCGGCACTCATGGGCTATGTGATCTTGGGGTCCTCGCGATCACATGGCCGGCAATGCTGGGTTATGCAGTGTCTGCACAAGGACTGCCTGAGCTCTCAGACAGTCCCTTTAGTGCCTGAAAAAAGTTTGTAAAAGTTAATAAAAGTTTTAAAACAGTTTCTAAATTAAATATAAAGTATTTATATCATATATATGTATATGTACGTATATGTATGTATGCACATACATACACTATGATTCTAAGTGTATTTTAATATATATATATATGTATATATATATATATATATATATATATATATATATATATATAAAATCTTGAGAAAGACCTGTTTTGGGGTCAAAACGTCGATCGGGGCAGTGTGTTAATTTTTTGCTAAGATGCAATCAAAATACAATTTTTTTTTCTCACAAAAATCCCTTGAGTGCACTCACTTCTTTTTTGGATGATCTACTTAATGCGGTTACCAGGGTACAAAATTATATCTGGTAAAAGAAGAAAGGGGAAGAGTCTGCGCTGACTCAATTGAGCAGCAACCCTGAAAGGGAATCCCTCACAGAACCCTTATAAGGCAAAAAATACAGAGAAAGGGGTTGAGGGCTGCGCTTAGTAAAGAATACGTAAAAGAGAGTAAAATTAAATAAAGGTAAAAACCAAAAAGTTCATCCACATATAAGAGAAGTATAAATAAAACAATCTCACTGGTGTGCAGTGATATAATACAAGTCCTCAAGTGTCACTCCGTCCTTATGGTAGGTGGTCCATATATGTGGAGACAAAAAATAAGAGAAGAAAGGCTTCCAATAGTGAAATATTGTATGTCCAAGGTGTGATATATATTCAAAGGAAAAGGTATTTCACTCACATTTGTTGGAGCTTTATCTATTTAGCTAAGTGCCTCTTCTCCGAGAGCTGGATAAAGCTCCAACAAATGTGAGTGAAATACCTTTTCCTTTGAATATATATCACACCTTGGACATACAATATTTCACTATTGGAAGCCTTTCTTCTCTTATTTTTTTGTCTCCACATATATGGACCACCTACCATAAGGACGGAGTGACACTTGAGGACTTATATTATATCACTGCACACCAGTGAGATTGTTTTATTTATACTTCTCTTATATGTGGATGAACTTTTTGGTTTTTACCTTTATTTAATTTTACTCTCTTTTACGTATTCTTTACTAAGCGCAGCCCTCAACCCCTTTCTCCACAAAATTATATCTGTACATGGGAAAGGTGAGTGTCAAGCCCCTCAAGATAGATATATATATATATATATATATATATATATATATATATATATATATATATATATATAATATTAAAATACACTTAGAATGATGTTAACTATATATAAATATCTCAATTATATAAAACATAAAAATAATCAATAAATATATTGAAAAAAAAATCAAATAAAAAAAAATGTAAAAAATATATATACATGTACAGTGAGGGAAAAAAGTATTTGATCCCCTGCTGATTTTGAATGTTTGCCCACTGACAAATGATCAGTTTATAATTTTAATGGTAGGTGTATTTTAACAGTGAGAGACAGAATAAAAAAAAAAATCCAGAAAAACACACATCAAAAAAGATAAAGGGCCTCCACAAAGGTGATCCCCTGAAGAAACCCCTTTAGTGACCGGGGGTTATAACTTTCTGTGAGCCATGGGGTAGCAAGATTACAACCTGGTCCAACGAATTGCAGTGACCCAAGGGGTAGTAATATGGCAGGTAATGGAGGACTTTCAAGTTTTCATCATATAAAAAGAAGGTTATATAAGCTCCTCTAACCCTTCCTCTATGATAACGTACAGAGGGAAGGTTCAGCTATCACAAGAAAGATTTTGCAAACTGACAACAAAAGTAAAAGAGATGTTGGCACACAGAGTGACTACACCCAGGAACCTTCTAGGTTCAATGTACTCCACCACAGGACTGACAAGATGGGCCCAGTGGAAAATTAGGATTTTTCAGTCCAATTTCCTTCGCCAATTTACGTGAGGGAATCTCCATCAGGCCATCAAAGTCTCTTCAAAAATTCGGCAATCCCTGATCTGGTGGTTAAAGAAGGTCACTCTCTCCAGAGGTTTTCCATTTGGTAAAGTAACATGGGCAGTGATAACAACAGATGCCTGCCAGTGGGGCTAGGGAGCCCATTACCTAGACAACTATGCTCAAGGAAGATGGAGATACAAAACAGCCAATACTCCCTCCAATCTACTGGAACTTTGGGCGGTGCTACAGGCCCCTCTAATTCTTCACTAGTGGATCAAGATAAGGTTGGACAATGTTCCAGTTGCTGTATATATATCTCAATCATCAGGGCTTGACGAGGCAGTTTTGAGGACTGTCCACTTACCTGGAGTGGAAAACTCAGAAGAAGACTACCTCAGCAGGTTTCAGATTGGAGCCTATCAAGCAGCATGTTCCAGTTAATTGTGAAGAGATGGGGTTTTCCTCTAAAGGATCTCATGGCAACCCGCAAAAACAGGAAGGTACAGATCTTTACAGATTCTTTACGAAACACAAAGACCCTCAAGCACTAGGGACAGAAGCTCTGTCTTGCAGCTGGAGATCAGTGGCGGATTCAGAGCCTGATCTCGGGAGGGGCACTTGTAGATTATTTAAAGAAATAATCCAGGCACAATAACCACTACAGCTCAGTTTAGTAGTTATGGTGCCAGTAGTGCTAGGATCCCATCCCAGAGTAAGTAGTCAAACGTTTAAGAACAGTTTGACAACTTACCTGGAGTCTGCTGGGATATAGGGCATAGAAGCAGTGCTATGTGTGAGTGGTGAAGTGTGTGTGAAAGGTCCAGTGTGTGTGTGTGTGTATGTCAGGGTTGCAGTGTGTGTGAGAGTTGCAGTGTATGTGTGTTTGGGGCAGTGTGTGTATGGGGGGGCACTGTGTGTATGGGGGTCGTGTGTGTGTGGGGCACAGTATGTATGTGTGGGGCAGTGTGTGTATGGGGGGGGTCGTGTGTGTGTGTGGCAATGTGTGTATTGGGGCAGCAGTGTGTGTGTGGCACTGTATGTGTCTGTGGGACAATGTGTGTATGGGTGTGCAGTGTATGTGTGTAGGGCAGTGTGTGGGGGCAATGTGTCTATGGTTGTGCAGTGTGTGTATGGGAGGCAGTGTGTGTGGGGCACTGTATGTGTTTGGGTGTGCAGTGTGTGTGTGGGGCAGTGTGTGTATGGGAGGGCAGTGTGTGTATGGGGCAGCAGTATGTATGGGGGGGCACGCTGTCTGCAGGGCTCGCGCTGTGCCGTGACATGATCTCCCATAGGAAAGCATTGGGAGGCTATTGTGCATGTGTGGCAAAAAGCTGCACGGCCAATCAGCATCTCCATGGGGAGCAGAGATGCTGTGTAGTTAATTATACTTGTGTAATTTTGTTCTAACTGTATTTTGATATTAATATACATATATATTTATATCAAAATACATTTAGAATGATGTTAGAATGTAAGCTCATTGAGCAGGGCCCTCCACCTCTCTGTTCCTGTACGTCCAATTGTCTGGTTTAAATTGCATGTCTGTTAGTCCACCCATTGTACAGCGCTACGGAATGTGATGGTGCTGTATAATTAATAATAATAATAATATATATAGCTATATATAAATAAAAATAATAAAATAAATTATATATATATATATATATATACTGTATACATATATATTTAATTTCTAAAATTCTACGTATACATTTATGTAATATTTTTACATAATTAAGTAATTTTCTTAATTACAATTTGAGGAACCTGCCTGACAACCCAGGCAGAAAGTCCAGATAATTTGGTTTGCAATCCCTATATTCAGTGGCAGAATTACCGTGGTCGCAGGGGTCATGTTTGCTACCGGGCCCATCACTCCAGGGACCCCTGTGGACCCCTGCGACCGGGGTGCCCGCCGGCCATTTTATGTTGATGATCTGTAACAATTTACCACTGTTACAATTTAACAGGTTGCTGTTAGGGTCATCTGATGGCAAAGTATTTCCAGGGGCTGTATCTGTGCGTCTGTATCTGTATGTGTGTCTGTGTATCAGCATGTGTGTCCATGTATGTATCTGTATGTGTTATATGTGTATCTGCATGTATGTCAGTGTGTGTTTGTTTATCTGCATGTGTGTCAGTTTATATACCTGTGTGTCTGTGTAACTGTCACCCCACCACCCACAC